TTTTATTGTATGCTGAAAAATAAATGTGAATATAGATTTTACCTTTTTCTAAATTAATACAATAAAAATGCCTCAGAAATGCAACACAGCCCATATGAGTTTATCCATGCAGACAGACCCTGTACTCCCCATTGTTACGGCTACATAATTAATTTAAAAAAAACACATCACAAAAATAAAAACAGTTCCAAAATATTTGCCTCCACCACTGTATTTGGAAATCCATTATCTTATATAAATATCATTCTGAAATTAGCCCCAATTTCACTGTATTAGTCTGAATTGCCTTTACAATCTGATCTAAAGTTGTATATTTACTATGTTGATATGATTTACTATCTTGTATATCTCTGTAAGATTCTCTCTCAGCCAACTGCTTTCTAGACAACAAAAGTTCAAATATCTCCCATATTTCCCAGTGATAGCCTCAAGGTTCTTCTCCAAAATCCTTCAAGCACTTCTTTCTTTGTGTCTAGGTGATAAAAAGTGGAAAAAAGTGAAGTTGTGACCTGACTAATGCCTATACATTTATTGCGAATAACTTCATCTGACTTGCAGTCTAATATTTTAATTTCATAATTTAGCATTCTGGTGTATTTGCTTTAATTGCTACTGTGCAGTGGTTGGAAATGTTAATTGTCAAGTATTATTGGAGGTCTGGATCGATCTCAATTTAATCCCCATGTTCTGTGATCCCATAAATGTATGCATCATTTAATTTTTTCCTACATGCAGTAATTTTCAATTCTCCATAAGAAATTGAAAATATTTAACAGTGAACATTTACATTTTGTAAATCATTTTCCTCCAAAAGCTAATTAATAATACAGCCAGCAATATGCATCAGAAAGAGAAATTGTTGATGTTCAAACACAGCATTGCACAGGAATGAAACTTCCTGCATGTTAGCTAGCATATACAAATTTTACTTTGGCTTGCTTCTGTTAATTTATTTGTAAGAAAATGATGCTTAAACAAAAAACATTGCTGACCTCCCTGTGGAGAATTTTCTAAACCCAGAGCTATGATGCATGTTGATGCTGTCATTAATCCTGGGATGTTTCAGTGAGCTTATGATTAAACTATGTGCATGTTGATTTGGCTCTCTGACACATGCATGCTCACCAACACCTCTCAGTATTTCTCATATGTCATTGACATTCAGCCAGCTCTGTCTTCATTCCGTTGTAATTACCCTTATTTAAGTTTAGCAAAGTTATTTTGACCATAGATCCTCCCTCTCAAGGTGGATGCTAAATTCTACCATATTAAGATCATTGTTTCTTAGGTGACCTTTCACTCTGCTGTAATTTATTAAACCTGCCTCATTACCCGTGACCGGATTTAAAACAGCCCAATTCCTGGTTGGATCCACAACATACTATTTGAGGAAACTGTCCCAAATACATACAATGAAGTCTTCTTTGCAGCTACCTCTGCCAATCTGACTACTCCTATCTACATGAAGATTAAAATTACCCACAATTAAACTGTCATTTTTGATTTCACTTGACAAACGAGCAGTGCTCCGAGACCTTGTGATTTCAAATAAACTTGCTGGACTATAACCTAGTGTCATGTAACTTCTGACTAAATAAAAGCTAGGTAAACTCATGTTTAGTATTAATCCCTCCACATCCAAACAGGTTTAGGGTTGAAATCAAATTCTTATATACCTCTTATTGACAGAGATTTGAAACATACAGTATATAATCTTCCTCAAATAACAGCAATTGGAAAAGATCAAGTAAAATGCTTACAGTGAACAGGCTATATAACTGTGCCGTTAAGTTAACTGACAGAATATCTGTTACACTTGCGTTCGAACAGAATCTTAATGTTGTTGGGAGAGGAGGCTCCTGTTTCAGTAAGAAACTGCCTGCAGTATTAAATTTCTTGGCATTTGTCATGTAAATACTCCCTTTAAACAACAACAATTCAACCTTTTAGAATTAAAATTACAAAGGTAAAATAAAGTGAAACCTATATTGCTTTAGACAGAATATAGTTGCTCACCTCCATTTTCATGGCTATCATTACCATTAGCGCATCTCCAGCCTTGACATGATCACCTTCCTTAACAAACACCTTGAAAACAGGGATAATCAGTTATTACAGTTTGCAATAGCCAGGATCATATGCAGCTACAGAATGAAGTGGCAATATTATACCATATTCCATACCTATTTAAACTATGCTTCCCTCTTTCATTCTAATACATTCAATGTATGACTTTGTGAAGTCTTATACTACATTCCAACATCTTGATTGAATTAAAGACAACCTTGCAATTCATAAAAGTTTGAAAATATAGAAAGTTTAATCTAATTCAAGATATTGCACGCATGCAAAAATATTAAGAGTTTTGTAGGCAGATGGTGCTGTGCAGGATCTAGGCTTGTTCTGTATGAAGACACAGGATTTGAAATATTGTGGCAATACTGCTCCAAAGTTAATGGTCTGTATTTTTTTAATCATACCGCAAGAAATTGAAAATATTTGACCGTGAATTGTTAAGCTTTGTCAGTAACATTCCCCCAAAGCTATTAATAATCTGGCCAGCAATATGTATCCGAAAGAGGAATTAACATAAACTTCAATACCCCAGTGAGAAAAGCAATATAATCATGGGGGATGGAATCCTGGCTTGTGAAGAGTGTTTATTAAAACAGAATGACGGTCCTATGATTCTACCAGGGTGGTAACCTTTCTTCTTCATTTTGTATCCATACAATTTGGAGATGGCAGTCATCAACAGTGCTATTCAGCAGCGCTTATTTAGCAATAACCTGCCAAAGAAGTTTTGCTTCTACCAGGACCACTCGGCCAGTTCTTGACCTAATTACAGCTATGTTCAAACATGGACAAAAAAGCTGTACTCCAGAGGCAAAGTGAGGTGAGAATAATTGACCTTGGGATCAAGGCTGCATTTGAGTGCCATCAAGGAACTCTAGCAAAACTGGAGTCAATGCAAATTGGGGGAAAACTCTGCTGGATGGAGTCATGCCTATCACAAAGGAAGATAGTTGTGACTGTCGGAGGTCAGTCATCTCAACTCCAGGACATCACTGCATGATTCCTTAGAATAGGGTCTCAGGCCTAAACACTTTTGGTTCCTTCATAATGTTCATCCTTTCATAACAAGGTAAAAAGTGGAGATGTTCGTAGTTGACTAAACAACGTTCAGCACCATTCATGACTCCTCAGGTATTGGAAATGTCCACATTCAAATGCAGCAAGACCTGGACAGTATCTATGTTTGGACTGAAAAATGGCAAGTGACATGTGCGCCACACAAACATTAGGCATTGACCACCTCCAATAACAGGCAATCTAATCATCATCCCTTGATATTTAATGATATCTTCCTTGCCATTTCTATACATACATACGTGCATATATGCACACACACACAAACACACGCACACACACACAACCACCCCTCTCCAACTATCAACATTCTGGAGGTTACCACTGACCAGAAACTGAACTGGACAAGGCATAAAATAATATGGCAACAGAAGCAGGCTGGAGGCTAGAAATCCTAAAATGAATAACACACCTTCTGATTCCCCAAAGCCTGTCTACTACAAGGCTCAGGTCAGTAGCGTGATGGAGTATTGTCTACTGGGGAACTCTCCCCACTCTAACAACACAAGATGTCTGACATCATCCAGGACAAACTATTAGCACCATATCCACAAATATCCACTGTCCCTGCATTGATACACAGCAGCTGTGCATATCATCTACAAGATGCACTGAGAAATTCAGCAAGACTCCTTCGATAGCACCTTCCAAACCTGCAACCACTACCATCTATAAAGGCCAAGAACAGCAGATACATGGGAACACCAGCTCTAAATTCCATTCCAAGTCTCTCACCATCCAGACCTGGAAATATATCGCCATTCCTTCAGTGTCACAGGGTCAAAATTCTGGAACATCCTTCATAGCAGCTCGTGGGTGCACTATACCAAATGGACTGTAGCAGTTCAGGAACACAATTCAGTGAAATTGATAACTTGTCACCCTACAAAGGTTGGGAATGCTAATGTTTCTTGATTGTGGGCTAGAATCTTGGATCATGCATATATTCCATCACCTTGATCAAAATTTAAAGTAATGCATAAAATAAAAGATGATACCCAAGATTAAAACTTTTGTTAAAGTTCTCTCTTTTCCTTTCCAGTGTTCTCAACATTGGTACTATGTAAAAATGATCTACAGAATGAAAGATTATCAGGGATATGCAGGAATGTAGAACTGAGTTTAAAATCAGATCAGCCAAGGCAGTGCAGGTTAAACAAGTAAGTGACCTACTCTTGTTCCTTGTTTGTATGTATGTTAGTATGATCACATATTCACAGTAAAATCACCTACTTTCACCTCTATAATATTACCCAATGTCATCTCTGCTTCAGGTCATTTTGTTTGAAGTCCTCATCTATGCATTTCCTCTAAATGTGACTCCTTTGTCGAGCATCTTCCACCAACTTAAGTTTAGATAAAACTTAACAACCTATGTCTTTCCACTGGCCCTCATTTGAGTAGCACTTCGACTTTAAAATTCACATCCTTATGGTCAAGTTCCTCTTTGGCTTAAACCCCCACTCTCTCCCACCATGACTCTGTAATCTCTCCCTCCCCTGTACAATCCTTAGCAGTACTTCTATTCTTTCAATTTTGGCCAGTTGAGCATCTCCTTATTTTAACTGCTTCATCATTAGATGCTGTGCCGTCAGTTGTTGAAGTCCAAAGTTCGAGAGGCCCCTCCCTAAACCTCTTCACCTCCTTTTCCACTGAAGACCCTCTTCAAAACCTACTTCTCTGACCAAGCTTTTCTGTCATCTGCTCCAATGTCTCCTTACATGGTTTGATGTCCAATTTTGTTTAATCTTTCTGTGAATCATAGGGTAATAGTCATACAGCTCGGAAACAGACCCTTTGGTCCAACTCTTCATATACACACCACCCTCTGCGTGAAAAAGTTGTCCCTTAGATCCCTTTTAAAGCTTTCTCCTCTCATCTTAAACCCATGCCCTCTAATTTTGGACTTACCTACCCTGAGAAAAAGACACTGGCGAATCACCCTATCCATGCCCCTCATTACCTCCGTTCACGACATTTCACAAATAAAATGTTATTGTTGTTATCTTGCAAATCCTAAAAATGCCAACTCAAAATGGGGATTAGCTTTACTGGACCTACCAGCCATCAAATGTGTCATCCAAGTGGCCATTCCTGTTCTCTAAGACTAAACAATATATTTTCCCAGATAACCAGATGTAAAGCTGGATGAACACAGCAGGAAGGCTGACGTTTCGGGCCTAGGCCCTTCTTCATTTCTGAAGCCTTCCTGCTCCTCTGATGCTGCTTGGCCTGCTGTCTTCATCCAGCTCCACACCTTGTTATCTCACATTCTCCAGCATCTGCAGTTCCTACTATCTCTGAATATATTTTCCCAGGTTGCTTACTTTGCATTAGCTGATCTAATCCTGTTCTCACCCAACAGTTATGCACATGTACCTTCTTGTAGCAGTCATAAGTTAGCAATTTAGTCTTTTTCATTGAATATTATCTGGAAAACACATTAAGAGTCATGGATTCAAAACAAAATATTACCTTTTCAATAGTTCCAGTCATTGGTGCAACTGCTCCTCCCTGAGATCCAGAGGCATCAATTCCAACTAAATACTTTGGCACAGGGGTATTAACTTGCACAGATTCTTCCTGAATAAAAATAATCAAAACCTTTGTCACTTCTTTTTTGTAGTCACTCAGATATGGGCATCGCTGGCTGGCCAGCATTTATTGCCTATCCCTTGTTGCCCTTGAGGAGTTGGTGGTGAGTTCCCTTTTTGAAACGCTGCAGTCCATGTGATGTAGCTTGACCCATAATGCCCTTAGGGAGGGAATTCAAGGATTTTGACCCAGTGACAGTGAAGGAATGGCAATATATTTCCAATTCAGGTTGGTGAGTGGCTTGGAGGAGAACTTGAAAGTGGTGTTCCCATGTATCTGCTGTCTTGTACTTCTAGAAGGAAGTGGTCATGGGTTTGGAATATGCTGTCTAAGGATCTTTGGTGAATTGCTGCAGTGCATCTTGTAGATGGCACACCCTGCTGCTACTCAGCATCGGTGGTGGAGGGAGTGGATGTCTGTGGATGTGGTACCCATCAAGTGGGCTACTTTGTCCTGGATGGTATCAAGCTTCTCAAGTGTTGTTGCAGCTGCCCCCATCCAGGCAAGTGGAGAGTATTCCATTAAACTTCTGACTTGTGCTTTAGAGGTGACGGACAAGTGAGGTGAGTTACTTGCCACAGTATTTTCAGCCTCTGACCTGCTCTTGTGGCTACTGTGTTTATGTGGCGAGTCCACTTGAGTTTCAGATCAATGGTGATCCCAGGATGTTAGTAGGGGATTCGGCAATGGTAACACCAATGAATGTCAAGCGGCACAGTTAGATTGTCTCTTATTGGAGACGGTTATTGTTTGGCATTTGTGTGGCGCAAAGTCATTTGCCAATCGTCAGCTTAAGCCCGGATATTGTCCAGATCTTGTTGCTCTTGGACGTGGACTGTTTCAGTATCTGAGGAGTAATGAATGGTGCTTGCCATATTTACCATGCTGAATTGCATTCCTCATATCTAAAACAGGAATGTATCTTACCATTGAAAACAGGTGAATAGTGTTGTCTGTAAGAACTACTTTAGGCTTGGAAACCATTCCATTGACTGAACATTTCAGGTATGTAGCTTCACCCTCCTTCTCCAGTTTTCCAAATACATGGAATACCTCTCCATCAACCTGAAATGGAGTCGAAATTTAAGTACAAGTCCATGCCTAATGTTCTTACAAACTAGATACACTCAACATGACTGTAGTAGCTTTACTGAATGAAAATAACACAATACCGCACTGGAATTGCAAGATTTACCCTTGATTTACCCTCATACATTCTCACATTTTGATGGTAAAAGATTCGATAGAAGTCATTTCACTGAGGCAGATACAGTTATGAAGAGAGTGCAGGATAACAGATTTAGCTTTGGATTGTTCTATCCAATATTATACATATAGGCCAAACAGCTCCTTTTGATCAATGTTCTACTGCTGCCGCTGCAGCATATGAGAACAAATAGTTTAATAGATTTATTTTGTGAAATTAGATGGATAGAATAAACACAAAATAACATCCCTTTTCTTGCTCACAGCCACCAATTTTTGATTTTGGAAGCAATGTTAGCTCGTTTATCTGTCAATTTGAGCAAATGATAGCAGAATAATTGTTAGCCTGTTGACCATATGCTGTATAGTGGCTCAGTGGTTAGCACTCTTGCATCATAGCGCCGGGGACCCAGGCTCAATTCCAGACTTGAGTGACTGTCTGTGTGGAGTTTGCATATTCTCCCCACGTTTGTGTAGGTTTCCACCGGGTACTCTGGTTTCCTCCCGCAGACCAAAAAATGTGCAGGTTGGGTGGACTGGCCATGCTACTTTGCCCCATAGTATCCAGGAATGTGCAGGCTAGGAGGATTAGCCATGGGAATGTGGGGTTATGTGGATAGGAGAGGGAGGGGTGAATTTACGTGGGATGCTCTTCGGAGGGTTGGTGCAGACTCAATAGGCTGAACGGCATCTATCTGCACTGTAGGAATCTATGAATACAGCATTTATTTTCTTCAGGTATACATACACCATACATCTTTCTTGTCACTATTTTAACAAATACGTAAATCAGAATCTATTGCAACCAGGTCATACTTGCAAAGTCCAAAATGTCTGTTAGATTAATTTCATGATTAGGCAGCACTTGCAGAACAATCCTGACACGACCGATTTAACATAATCAGCTGAGCTCATATGTGGCTCATGTCCACTTGCTAGAATTGACATACATTCAAACAGGGATTCATTCTCTAAAAACGAAGGAATACATTCAAGCCTTATGCCTTTACTAACTGCCTGTAAGTTTGGCAGAGGTGGGCGGGGGCTAGTTGCTATAGTTCACTGTTGCTTTTTCTACGGCAATGCCTCAACTAAACAGACTCAATTTATCAACAAACCAGTACCCTTTTCTCCTGCAGCATAAATTCCCGCAATCATTTGAAATTTGATGTTCTTGCATTATACTGACGAAAACAAGATGAATAGCTTCAGTAAAATGTCTTTCTGTCAAGCAAGATTCAAGCAACTCTTTGCTTACCTGAATACTGTAAGTCCCATCAGGGTTATATGACACATCCATATTCACCTCTTTTTGAGGATGTGGAGAAAAAGGGAATAAACAAATGCAAGCATTATATATTGCAGTGCTAAGAAGTTAAACACATAAGACATAGGAGCATGAGTAGGCTAGTCAGTTCTCTGCAGCTGTTCCACCATTGAATCACATCAAGGTTCATCTTAAGTATCACCCTACCTTCCTGTGGTTTTACCACATTCTGACCCCCTTAGTATCCAAAGTCTAGCCATCTGACATGTTTCAAATCTACACAAAAAGGCAGAATTTTTGTTCTAGTTAAATGCAAAATCTTTAAGTCCTTTCTACTTAATGCTTCACTATTTGCAGTTCGGTGTTTCGTCAAGTCTGCTCAGACGTACACTTCCATCTTCTCCCTGGAAATTTTCTGTAGTCTGATGAAAGACATGTTTCACAGTAGCTCTTTGTCTAAATGGAACAATTTAAAAGTTATAATTGGCTTATGGTTGATCAGCTTAATATTAAATATTTTAATTTACTTTAAAAAATTAAGCATTAAGTTTTCAGTGTGTGAACAGACACACTGTTTCGAAACATGCTTTGTCCTGTGGTCTTTTGTCTTGTACTTTGTCAGAAGTTGCTGGTGCTTTTCAGTCTGCTTCACATGTTCTACTGTGCGCCTTAGTTTGCTGCAGTACATAGCATTCAGATATTAGGGCGAAACCAGACTAAATACTATTACATTATATCACCTTGTCATTCATTCAAAACAGAGCACATAGTTATCCACTGGCTACTTATTATGAGACCGTGACTGAGGTTTTCAGTGGTTGGGAAAGTAACAATCGGCTGGTGGTAAGCCCACCACCACTCATCCACAATATGGAGGGTGCCAAAATCATGACAATGTCACTGCAGGCCACACCAAATGAAGTTGTATGGGCAGTATGGGCAGGTGGGTGGGGTTGGGGAGGCATTTCTTTGAAGAAGCTTATAAAACAATGAAAAGAAAGGGGTGGTATCTTCTAGGGATGTCTGCTGGACCTTAGGGGCACATCTGCCTGAAGATAGAATCCCATCTTTCTTCTGATCTACCTGTTCTGAAAATCCAACATCTATTGTCTTACCTCCATAAAAACTTTCCAAACCCACCCTGATCCAATCAGATTGGTCAAGAGTCCCTATGGTACTAGTTCCTAGTAAGGGGCAGGAAGTCCCATGGTTAGGCAATATAGCCCACCCACATCACATTATAGCTGTAGAGCAGGCTTGCTTCTGGTCTGTTGGCTCATTGCTGGCTTCCTTTCTAGGGGGTGGGGCATGCAAACAGTGTGCTCCTCTCTGCAATTTTCAAATCCATGCCAATCATCCCTAATTCCGGCTATCAATGGTTTCAGGTAAATCTGGCAACATATCTTTTCTTATTTCAACTAGCATTTTTTGTTGTTGTGAATTCTACAATTAATGTTGTTATTGATGGACTATATTTCAGTTTTAAAGGTTTGTCTTATAAATCAGAAACATTTATACAGTCTATACCATAAAAGCTTTACAAGACAGTTCCTCTTAAAACAAAGAAATAGGAGTTGCTAAAACAAAGAAACAGGAGTCTTTTTCAGAAAGCAGAGACAGAAGGTTGTAATCAAATGACTTCAGAAGAGGTGTGGAATAAACAGGGAAAAAGACAAAAATCAGTAACTCAAAAATCCATTTAGAGAATAGGTGAAAAAATGGGTGGTAAACTGCAGACAGTGTTTAATTTCTTCAAGTGAAATTATGTTTTTATTTTAGGATTTAAACTATAAACAAAGCTATTTCTGATGTTTGAGACATTTTATTACTACAAACTACTACCTTATTGTTTCTGTCAGTGTGCATTGCTAGGAAGTAGTATTATTTGAAACTTGTTAGCAAGAGCAACATGAACCAAGACTAAAACTAAGTTGTGTTGGTGACATCATACTTACTATTCTGCCCATCAAGCAACACAAGATTCCTGCTGTACAGAATATTCAATCGCCTGCCACTACTGTTTGAAAATGGTGAAAATGGATCTGAAAAAAATTATTTCAAAATGATTACATGCAAGCAAATCAGTGTTTTTAAAGTGTATGAGTATATGTAGGTCACAAGATGGTCTTACCATGTGAAAATGCCTTAAACTTGTTAGTCTGAATCCTTTCATGCAGTATTAAAGCAAGTGCTGCCTGGCACAGGACATCTTTACTAGTTGCTTTCTTTGTTGGGAACAATGCATCATAGTGTTGAGGGATAAAGTCTGTATGCACATTTCCAGCTTCAAATTCAGGATGAGCAGCAAGGTTGAGTAAGAAATCTATGTTGGTGTTTAAGCCTACAATCTGTCATAACACAAAAGCAATCAATTATATGTAATAAAGTCAAAATAATACAGATGTTGGAAATTTGAAACAAACACAGAATGCTAGAGAAACTCTGCAGATCTGTGGACAGGCAAACAGATCCAATGTTTCGAGTCCGGTATGACTCTCAAACTTCAAATTTGTCATTAATATATTATCAAGGAAAAGTGAGTGACAGAAGTTGTCAGATAGTATTTTCAGGAAACAGAGAGTAGGAATAAATGGGTCTTTTGCAGGTTGGCAGGATATCATAAGTGGTGTGCTATCACAGGGGTTGGTGTTGGGGCCTCAACTCTTTACAACTTAAATAAAATAGTTGGATAAAAGGATCAAAAATATGGTTGCTAAATTTGCTGATGACACAAAGGTGGGTAGAAAAGTGAGTCATGAAAAGGACATAAGGAGCTTACAAAGGGACACAGACAGGTTAAGTGAATCGGCAAAAATCTGGCAAATGGAGTACAATGTGGGAAAGTGTGGAAATGTCCATTCTGGCAGACAAGGTCAGAAATCACAGGACACCAGGTTAGTGTCCAACAAGTTTGTTTGAAAACCCAAGCTTTCGGAGCATAGTCCCTTTGTCAGGAGAAGGGGCTATGCTCCAAAAGCTTGTGTCTTCAAATAAACCTAATGGACTATAACCTGGTGTCATGTGATTTGACTTTGTCCATCCCAGTCCAACACTGGCACCTCCACATCATTCTGCAGAATAAAAAGGAAGCATATTATCGAAGTGGTTGTACAGTGTACAGATACAGAGACTCTGGGTATCCTGTGCATGAATTGCAGAAGTTTAGTACTTGTAGTACTTGCCTGCATAATCAGGAAAGCTAATAGAATGTCATCTTTATTGCAAGAGGAATAAAATGCAAGGGTAGAGACGTTATGCTTCAGTCATAAACAAAAACAGAAGTTGCTGGAAAAGCTCAGCAGGTCCAACAGCATCTGTGAAGAAAAAAATCAGAGTTAACATTTCGGGTCCTGTGACCCTTCCTCAGAACATACAGGGTATCAGTGACACTGCATCTGGTGTACTGATCATTGTACTTAGGTAAGGATGTTAATGTGTAGGAAGCAGTTCAGAGAAGGTTTACTAGACTAATATCTGGAAATCAGCAGATTACCTTATCAGGAAAGGCTAGACAGACTGGACCTGTATCCTCTGGATTTTAGAAGAGTCAGAGGTAACTTAATTGAAATATACATGATCCCTAGGGGTCTTGACTAGGTGGATGTTGAAAGGATGTTTCTTCTTGTGGGAAAATCTAGAACTACAGATCACCAACTTAAAACAGAGATAAGGAAATTTCTTTTTCTCTCAAAAAGTTGACAGTTCCTTGGAATACACTCCTCAAAAGGCAGTGAATGCAGAATCTTTAAATATTTTTTGAGGCAGAGTTAGACAGTTTTTTGATTACCAGGAGGACGGAAGATTATCTGAGATATGTAGGACTGTAAAGTTGAGGTTAAAATCAGATCATCCATGATCTTATTGAATGGCAGAGCAGGCTCAAAGTGCTATATGACCTACTGTCATTCCTTTATCGAATGCATTGGGTCAGTATTAGTAAATGAGTAGAGATCATACTTTGGCCAAGTTCCATCATCAAATGAGAAGAGATCAAGTCACAATCTACCATAATAAATTACTGTCAATGGGATGCATTTATCTGGGTCCTGCTTTAGTCTTATGCCTATCCCTACCACTTTTAAAATCCCAAAGTAAGTTAAGTTTTATGATTTATGGCTCCTCAAAGCAATTACCTTCCTAAGTGGACGTATACTAAAATGCATCAGCTATATTACCTTCATACAAATGTGTGATTTTTTTCAGCAGGAATTGATCATAAGGTACTAAATTCAATTTTTAGAAATTCGAAATGTCTGCATACTTACATTATACTGATGCAAGCAATATTTTAATTTATTTAGTGCCACTGTACGGTCATCACCCCAAACCACCAGCTTGGCAATCATTGGATCATAATGCACAGAGACTTCGTCACCTGAAAAGAAAATAAATATCCACTTGAATAGAAAAAAAGACATTTACTTAAAATAGAGTCAAGATGTTAACGCCTGGCATAATTTCAATACCTTGTTTGACTCCAGTTTCAATTCTTGTAAAAGTATCTGGTACTGGTGTTGACAGATGGATTAAAGGCCCTGCTCCTGGCATAAAGTTATTACTTGGATCTTCTGCATATATTCTTGCTTCAAATGCATGACCTTGAACAGAGAGTTCCTTTTGTGTCAAAGGAAGTTCCTCTCCAGCCGCAACCTGACATTTGATGAAAAAATATTAATTCGTTTTCATTCCATCAGCAGGGTTTGTACTTCCAACAACTCATAGAACCCCTATTTGATACATATACATTAAAATACGTTGGCACCATGTCGTGTTTCCATGTGATTTCATGCACGCACTGAAAGTTGACCATGTCACAACAGGATTAATTCTTTATTCCGATTTCCTCCACTCATCAACGATCCTTCAAAGATATACCAGCTTTGCTGTATGGGACTGATTAGTAACCTAGAGTTCTTGGGTTCAGATTAATAGCAAGTTGTGGATTGGAAATGATTGAATGAGATATTTTCAGAAAGCTGCAATACAACTGATAATTGTATTTTTAAACAATGTTCTGCAGGGAAGAGAACCTTATACCTTAGTCTGGTTTGGTCCAGAGGTAACTTAAATTCACACCATATGATCAGCTTTCAATTACTCTGAAGTGGTCTCTCAAACTATCCAGTTGGAAAAACAATTGCTATAAAGAAAGGTCACCCTCACCTTCCCAGAAACAGATGATAGTTAATCATGAAAGACTGCCAGTGATATCGTAACTGTTGTGATTGACTATTTCTCATTCTTACTTAAAGGCATCTTATATTAATTTCAGTACATTTTTAGCTAATGTTTAAGATATTTTCCCTAAGATCCAAGACTCTCAAATTCAATTTCTGCTCTAAACTTAGGAAATTAATTTTGATAATATATTAAAAAGGGTCAATTCCAATCAGCGACAGAGAACATTGCAAAAGTTACAGGTTTTATCCCAGAGGTCACATAAGCTGTGATATAAACCTACTTTTGCAGTATGAAAACTGAAAGAACTGCAGATGCTGTAAATCAGAAACAAAAACAGAAATTGCTGGAAAAGCTCAGCAGGTCTGACAGCATCTGTGAAGAGAAATCAGAGTTAACGGTTTGGGTCAAAAGGTCACAGACAACTGAACAATCTACAATTGCTTAGCAGCTACTGTAACAAAATCTACCAAAATGCTTCAGGAAGCATACTGCACTTTGCTACACAGCACACTTTTAGCAACCCTGTCTGTGATCCCACTAGCGTGTTTGTAGGCGTGGGGTCTTACTAAACATGTGGCCTGCCCACGATCTTGCTATTCACCCATTCCGATGAAGGAGAGTCATACCATACTCAAAACATTAAATCTGTTTCTCCCTTCACAGATGATGGCAAACTTGCTGAGTTTCTCCAGCATCCTCTGTGCTAGTCAAACAGATCGTCTGGCATCTCTCAATTCCCTCCCAAATGGCTTGGAAGTCTCACCCTAAAACAATGAAGGTTCTTCCCAATATAATAATCGCTGTGCTTTAGGGTTCCGTGGTGCAGCATTTGCCAGGAGTTCCAGGTTCAAGTACCACCTGTTCCTGAGGTTTACATTTCTGAACAGGTTAATTAGAAAATATCTAATATCGCTATGTTGGATTTCAGGTGGAGAATCTAGTAATGGACTTTTCATTGGTGGAGGATGGGGGCAGGGGATTGCAAGGATTATATTCCCAGTTAAATCCAACTCAAGGTTTCCAAGATGTTGTGATATCTTCAAGCACTCAATGTCACCATGCCCACAGCTAATCAAATGTTATATAGAGATTTCTGCATTATATAGGTATGGAAAAAAACAGTAAAATAGTAGTGAGTGGAAACCTTCAGATATTTTTAAACCTTTCAGGTATATTAATAAAACTGTGGTTTGAGACCAAACATTTAGCTACTCATTCCTTCAGTTTTACCAAAGTCATGACTTAATGGTTTAAGTATTATAAACATAAACTATGAGAAACAACTATTTCCACGCACCCGAAGTTGCCATTCAACAAGATCAGTTCCTGTTATCATCTCAGTGACTGGGTGCTCCACTTGTAATCTTGTGTTCATTTCCATGAAATAAAAATTATGCTGAGCGTCCATGATAAATTCCACTGTCCCTGAAAACCAAGACATTGGTTTATATTGTAAATTCATGACTTTTCATCACAACTCTATTTATTTAGGCAAAATGTTCATCACTCTATTTAGCACAATATTTCCCAAAACAACTCATCCGCAAAATTCAAAGTAATATTGCAACTAGGTTTAGGTTCAAATTCACATCAAAACAGCAGCAATCTCTTTTCTACCAGTACACCAACGCCTCTTTGTAGAAATGTTCAGATCAACAGATCTAAGATAATGTGAAAATTGTCAAAATGAGGGAACTATTAGAGAACAGATAACTATGATATTTAGTTTTAAAATGCAACTGAAAGAGACACTTGCAGATTAGTTAACTATTTAGAATATTGTCATAATATACAATTTTAAGGGATATAGGGAGAAAGCAGGAATCGGGTACCGAATTGGATGATCACCCAGGATCATATTGAATGGCAGATCAGGCTTGAAGGCTGAATGGCCAATTGCTATAATCTGTGTTTCTAAATTAAGGTTGAAATTGAAAAGTATGGGCACATAATACTTAAGTAGAAACAGAAAAAAAATTGGGTTTCAATTGGTTCAAAACTTATCAATCCTACTTATGATTATGTGTGGATGCACTGAAGAGTATCTTTATGGATAAAAGAACCCTCAGTCATCCATTGTATTGATGAAATAGATGAATGCAGGAATACATAGAGGAATCCTTAATTTAAAGTATTTGGGAAAGCAAATAAGCAAAAACTGTCTGACTGGACTTATCTGATATAGTAACATTCCCTTTTGAAGAAAGGACATCTTGTTGATTGCATGACATTGTTAAGTATGTGCAGTAGACCTAAGCTAAAATGTTTTTGTTGGAAATTATCCAAGAAGTATGAGATAGTGAGAACATTTGGCACGGTTCCATGATTTCTCAGGTCATTATGGTCTATCTGGGTGCAGTACATGAAATGACACAGTGTGTAGCTACTTTACATCTCATGAAAACATATGGTACATTCCAGAAGATGATAGTGGATGATGAGGCTATAATCTAAAACTAGTTGGCTCATTTGATAGCAAAGACATTTTTGCAGCTCACATTGTTATCAACAATTTCAGTTTTCATTTTCTGCAAAACTAACTGTGAAGCCAATGAAGGTCATCATATTCAACCAATAAACACTGCAGAAGGAGGTCCAATTTCCAGAACTATTGCTGCTATTTCTGAAATGGGGACGGGAGGGGATCAGAGAAGAAATCGAGATAAATTTTGAACTTCTTCAAAATTTCAGAGTACAAGCATAATGTGCATTCCAACTTGCTATAATCAGCATAAATTTATCACCACAGGTGGTTTACTTCTGTTTCAAATAACAATAAGCAATGATAAACAGGAATTACAAAAGTGGAAATAACGTACATCATAAAATGCTTTCAATACAATTCAATGCGTTATATTGATGGGACGCCCTTTCTTTAAATTTTGAAATGAAGGTAGCAACAGGTAACCATGCACAATACCACATATTTTGGTTTGCAAAGAACAAAGGAGAACAAAAAATTAGGAATTTGATGATTAAACGACATCTAAAAATGATTTAAAGCTTTAAAAAGCCTGTGATTCTAAAAGAAATGAAAGCCTAAGGGAAGAAAGGGTTTTAGTTTTTCAGTTTTGGGGAAGGATAAGTTAGAGCAGAAGCATATGTCCTGACAGATAGTAAGAACTGCCGATGCTGGAGTCTGAGACAACACAGTGTGGAGCTGGAGGAACACAGCAGGCCAGGCAGCATCAGGGGAGCAGGAAAGCTGACGTTTCGGGTTGGGACCCTTCAATTGTGTTTATAACAAATGAGAGATCCAAGGAACAAAAATTTATGTACTGAGTTTCTCCTATCAACCTGCTATATAAAATACCAATGACACAACAACTTGCATTTCTATACTGCATTTAGGTAGCAGAATATCTTGTGCTAACAAAAGCTGACTCTGAGCCACATAATGAGACATCAGGACATGTAATCAAAAACTTGGCTAAAGAATCAGGTTTTAAGGGATGTCTCAAAAGACAGATTTAGGGAGTCAAATCCAAAATTCCAGTTCTGAGGAAGGGTCATTAGACCCGAAACATTAACTCTGGGGTCTCTCCACAGATGTTGCCAGACCTGTTGAGCTTTTCCAGCAATTTCTATTTTCGTTCCCAAAATTTGTTGTCGAGGCAGCTAAAGAAACAGTTCCAAACGTAAAACACTGGAAATGGAGATGGTTGAGAGTCCAGAATTGGAGAAATACCAAGATTTATAGGACAGGAAGCGTTAACAGAGGTAAACAGATGCAAGGTCATGGAGAGACTGGCAGCCAGTAATGCAATTTTATATTCAAGACATTGGCTCCCATTGATTACATTGTCAGGCAATGTAGGCCACCAAACATAAGTGAATGGAACTTGGTGCGAATTAAGATTCGGACAACAGAGTTTTGGTTGAACTTAAGTTTACAAAGGGTGTAAATTGGGAAACTAACCAGAAGAAGAGTATAGTCTGAAGTAACAAAAGACATGGTTGACATTTTAGCTTTTCAGAAGTTGTGGCAAAAATTGGCAATGTTATGTGGCGAAAGTAGGTTATCTTGGCATTGGAGAGAATGAGGTTGTTGACTTGCCCACTGAGATGGCTTGTTCTTCTTCAGATGTTTCATCACCATGCTAGGTGACATCATCAGTGTAGCCTCTGATAAAGCGGTGTCCTTCTACTCCACCTGGAATTTATACTGTTTGGTCCATTATGGTGAGTAGTGTCATTTCCGATTTTGATCTGTATGGGTTTCTATACGGGGTCCAATTCTATGTGTTTGTTGATTGCAATACGTGTGGAGAACTGATGATATCGCCTAGCATGATGACAAAACGTCTGAATGAGAATAAGCCAGCTCGGCGAGCAAGTCAACAGCCTCACCCACAATCTGAGCTACAGATCTTTGCCAAAACTTTGAGTGGAGAGAATGTCACAAGGTCAGTATGAGTATCTGGACATTATCTGTTCTTTTCTAGTATTGGACAAACCTAAGGAAGAAAGCACACTGAAGCACAAGATCACAGTAGCACAGAACGTTCTAATGCAGATTGTCCTCCTGCCACAAATATCTCTTAACATTTATTACACTCTCTCTCTCTCTCACCCTGATCATTTCCCCATCACAGTCATAATCTCCATTCCCTTAAGTCCATGGAGAGGGGATTTGAATGTTTATTCCAAACAACAGGTTTATCATTCGTGCTGCATCACAAAGCACTGATAGTTTCTGCTATTCCTCTGTCAGAACTGCTCAATATTCCAAGACCATCCTGGAATACAATGGTAATGTCCAGCTTCTCTTTACTATTACAAACTACCTTCTTAAACCCTCTCCTTGGACTCTCCATCCTCATACTCTAACATGGGGTATGAGATGTTTGGGCTTCTTTGCCAGTAAGATTCAAGTCACCTGAACAGCTGCCTCTGCCGCTTCCCTGTTTTTTTTTCCTTCATTCATTCACAGAATGAGGGCATCGCTGACTAAGCAACATTTATTGCCCATCCCTAATTGCCCAGAGGGCAGTTAAGAGTCAACCAAATTGCTGTGGGTCTGGAGTCACATGTAGGGCAGACCAGGTAAGGATGGCAGTTTTCTTCCCTAAAGGACATTAGTGAACCAGATTTTCTGACCAATGGCAATGGACTACGGTCATCATTAGACTCTTAACTCCAGATATTCATTGAATTCAAATTCCACTATCTGTCGTGGCAGGATTCGAACCTGCCAGAACATTATCTCGGTCTCTGGAATAACAGTCCAGCAATAATGCCCTAGGCCATCACCTCCCCACCATTTTCTTATGACATCTTGCCAAACTAATTTTAAAACTTCCCTCTGCCCTTGCCTGTACAAATTGATTCTACTTTCATGCATGTTTCGTCAACGCAAATTGGCTTTAATGCGATTCAAGAATTTAGATCACTATTTGTAGAATGTGAACTTTCCTTATCTATATTGGCTATAACGCGATTCCAGCCCCATTAGTTTAAATGGTGCGGCTGTTGCGCGTTTTCTTATAATGCGAGATCGCACAAGAACGGAACTATCGCTTTATATAAGAACTGACTGTACTTGCATCTTACGTAGGAATATAGGACTTAACAGCAAGGGTAGGTCATTTTTCCCTTTGAGCTTGCTCCGACATTCAATCAGATCATGGTTTATACAGTTCTGGTCTCAACTCCGTGTACCCCATACCCTTGGTTTCCTCGCCTATCTAAAATCTAACTCTGCTTTGAATAAATTCCATGATCCAGTCTCCATGGTTTTCTAAGAAAGGGAAATGCTACACACTAACAACCCTCAAAGAAAAAAGTTCTACTTATCTGTCTTATAATGGAGACCTCTTCTGATCTGTGTCCATGGTTCTGGTTCCAGTTTCTCTTCTATCTCTCCTCATGCTGTCAATTAATTCATCGTCCATGAGTCTCACTTCCTACACCCTCAGACCTATCTCTAACAAACCACTGACCATCCAACTACAACTTCTGGCTACCATGCTAGATATTATTAATAGTTACCATTCCTTACTGTTCGTTTTCCCTTCAAATCTGTTGACACCAACCCTTTCCTCAAAAAAACCTACAACTGACACCACGGTTCTTGAAAATAAAACCTAATCTTGAATGTCCCTCTTAAAGTCCTTGAACATGCTGTTGCTTCTCAAACTATGCTGACCTTTTCTGAGCCCCAGTTAGGTTTCTGCCCAGACACAGTATTCAAGTAATTTATCAAAGTCAAAATTTCCATCCCATTTGAATATGACCATGGTAAATTATCCCTACTCATCCATCTTGACCTCCCTGTAATATCTGAGACAGCTCAATACAATATCCTCTTCCAAAGCCTCTCATCCAGCTGGAAGGGAACCAGTCACCTGGTTCCATTCTTAACTCACCAGCAGTAGCCACAGAATCATCTGTAATGGTTTCTCTTCTCACTGCTGTATCATTACTACCAGTGATTCCCAATGATATATCCTTGGCTCCCTCCTATTTCTTTAGCCATTGGTAAACAACATGTTCCACATGGTCATTGACTACATTCAGCCCCACCTCACCATCTGCCCTCAACCACTCCATTCTACCTAATATGGCATTCTGGCTGTCCGCCATTCAGCATTGAATAAGGTTAACTTTTTTTCTAATTAAACACAGTTCTGCAAATCCTCAGAAAGACCATTCCTTGAAGTATTGTGTGCAGTTTTGGCCTCCGGTTTTGGCTATGGAGGGAGTGTAACAAAGGTTTACCAGACTGATTCTTTGGATGGCAGAACTGACATATGAAGAGAGAATGGATCAGTTGGACTATAGAAGAGGGGAATCGAGGGATGCAGACAAAATGCAAGCAAGATGGGATTACTTTAGAATGACATCATGGTCGGTGCAGATTTTTTTTAAAAATTCATTCGTGGGATGTGGGCATCACTGGCTGGCAAGCATCTATTGCCATCCCTAGTTGCCCATGAGAAGATGGTAATGAGCTGGCTTCTTGAACCGCTGCCATCCATGTACTGGAGTTAGACCCACAATGCCCTTAGAGAGGTGATTCAGGGATTTTGGTCCAGTGGCAGTTAAAGAGTGATATATTTTCAAGACATGGTGGTAAGTGGCTTGGAGGAAGACTTGCAGGTGGTGGTATGATGCAGCATCTCCCACAATGGTGATATGTTACACTATTCTTAACTGGCACTCATTCTCCAGGAAGCACTGTAAAATTATTCTTAGCTCCTGATGGTTTTTCACTTTCCAAGTCAGGTAACTTCTAATCCTAGAAATGTCTTTCATTGTAAGGGTTACACTGTAGAATCCTTCCCTGCATCCAGTAACTCAGTTGTTCTATCCTAGCTGTGTTGCCAGGCCTAAAAGCATTTTGTATTTTTATTCCATTATCAAGATGGCCTTAAATCTATAGGGATAACATTGCCTGATATTCCCCAGCCTTAGGTAATCTACTGCTGATATTCTTATCCATGTTTCTGTTTCCTCTGAATTATTCTAATGCTCTTCTGGCTGTTCTCCCATATTCCACTCACCATAAACTTGGAGCTCATCTAATACTCTGCTACCTGTAACCTAATATCCTAGGGGAGACAGTGGCATAGTGATAAAGGAACTGGACTAGTAATGTGACAGGTAATGTCTCAGAACCTTAGTTCTGAGGAAGGGTCACTGGACCCGAAACGTTAACTCTGTTTATTCCTTCACAGATACTGGCAAACCTGCTGAGCTTTTCCAGCAACTTTGTTGTTGTAATGTCACAGGACTAGTTATACAATAAGGACTTCGATCTTCACAAAATTAAAAAAGACTTCTCCAGTTGCACCTTGTACACCGTGAAGGCCAAGAACAGCAGGAACTTTCCAGAAAGGTCTTGGGAATGATAAAAGGTTGACTGGTAAGGATAAAATAAACATATAAGGGTTGAAGCAAAAATTATCAGGGACAGCCTGGCTAGGATAAGATTAAGTAAACCCTGACTGGCTGGATGGGATATAAACTTGGGACTAGAATATACATTTGTTTCTTACGAGATTGAAATGGGAATGGAATTTGGATAATGAGATGCCTACATGACCATATGGTATACAGGTGTTGAACTTTTTAGTATTCTAAGTCACTCTTACTAGTCTACTGTCCCTGCATTCGCTTGAATACATAATTGTAAACCAGCACTCAGACTCCTGTGGCTAATTATTAGAAGTTACCACAATAAAGGTGACCATGAAAGTAATATCTACAAGCATAAAATCACATGTGGTTCATTAATGTCCCAAGGGAAAGTAAAGTATCTGCCGTTTCTGAAGGGTCACTGGACCTGAAACAGTAACTCTGCCTTCTCTCCACAGCTGCTGCCAGTCCTGCTGAGTTTTTCCAGCAATTTCTGTTTTCGTTTCTGACTTCCAGCATCCACAGTTCTTTGCGTTTTTTTAAATTATTGTCCTTACCTGGTTTATTCAGCTTTATGTGACTCCACAACCACAACAACGTTGTTCACTTTAAACTGCTTTCCAAGGCAACTGGGGATAGGCAAAAAATGCTGGCCTTGCCAACAATGCTCACATCCCAAGAAAGAATATTAAAACAAAAATCACATCACTTGTCACTCATCCCTGTGCTAGCTGATCACTGGGCTGGTAGTACTTTGATTTCAAAAAACATTTTTGTTTTCAAATTCCCTATGATCTGGCCCCTTTCCATCTGTGTAACCACTTCTGGCCCTACAAAACCTCCCGATAACTGCATTTCTCCAGATCTGGTTACCTGTACACCTCCCATTTTAATTTCTCCAATGTTGATATCCTTGCTTTCAGTTGAATAGTCCCCACGTTTTGGAATTCTCTCCCTAAACATCACTGCCCCTTTGTCCTCCTTTAAACATAGCTGTTTGACCACATTTTTGGTCATCTGCTCTAATATTTCCTTGGGTAGCTCGGTGTCAATTTTTGTTTGGAAATAGTCCTTTTTTTAATGTTTAAATTGCTACATAAATGCAAGTACTTGTTGTTGTCATGTTCTTTTCTGCTCAGTTCCTATTTGCACTCTGGTCCTATAAACAGAAGAATATCAAATTAGAAGTTACTACTGAATCACTTCAACCTTTTGCATTTGAACAGCTTGTCCAGAATGGCATCAGCTATGCTTGGAGAGAAAACTGTGTACATATATTTAGCCCTCAGTAGGCCACTAATTTAAGCAAGTCCAGAGTCCATAGTAAGGATCTGATTCTTCTATGAGTGATGAACATTTACTTACCAGCTCCTACATAATTGACAGCTTTAGCAGCTTGGACTGCAGCTTCGCCAAGTCTTCTCCTCACCTCAGGGCTAATTCCAGGCTACAATAGTAAAGTCCAAGAAAAATTATTTATATTTTATATGCACATGATGGTTGAAGAACAGGTAAGAATATCGATTTAAGTTTCAGTTTATCAAATGTAGCTACGGTAGCACAGTGCCTATGATACCAGCCAAGTAGTTCAGAGTCTGAAACTAATAATCTAGACAGCAAGCAAAGATTGCAGCACTGCAGTTTGAAGATTTGCATTCAGTTTTAAGAGAAATCTGGCAATAAATAAAAAGCTGCTCTCAGTAGAAGTTGCAAACACCTACAAGTTCATTAATAAATTTTAGGTTTGGCTTGCCAGTCACTCCAGTTCCACTGTTAGCTGACACTTGTAGCTTGCTCAGCACTTCTAAGTCATAACAAAACACCGAGCAATTTGAGAAGGCCCTCTACCACCTGCACAAATTCAGATGGGCAACAAAGGCTGACCTAACCAGCTATGCCATCGTGAAGTAAATTTTTAAAATTTTTTATTAAAAACTACTTTATGAAATAGCATGTTGAGGTACAGTAACATATGAATCCCAATAAGGTCCCAGTGAAGTCATAGTTTTTTTTTTGGTTTTGTTCGCTAGATGTGGGTTTCACTGGCAAGGCCAGCATTTATTGTCCATCCCTACTTAACCATGAGAAAGCGATGGTGAACCACCTTCTTTAACCATGGAAGTCCTTGGAGTGCAGGTACACCCACAGTGAAAGAAATTCCTAGTTTTGATCTAGTGACAGTAAAAAAAAGAGTGGTGATATAATTCCAAGTCAGCATGGTACATGATCTGCACGGGAATTTGCAGGTGGTGATGTTCTCTTGCATTTACTATCCTTGTCCTTCCAGGTGGTGGAAGTCACAGTTGAAGAAGTCTAGATGAATTGCTGCAGTGCATTTTGTAGATGTTATACGCTGTTATAACTGTATATTGATGGTGAAGTGAATGTTAGAGTGACCACCACACAGTCCCTGTGGAGGCAAAGTCCCGCCTTCACATTGAGAATACATCACTTTGGGTGGCATTATCACCATACTAAATGCAAATAGATTTTGAACAGATCTAGCAACTCAACGCTGAGCATCCACAAGACTCTGTGGACCATCAGCAGCAGCAGAATCACACTCCAATGCCATCCATGATATTCCCATGCTACCATTTTTAAATACTTTAAAAAACATAAAAAATTATTCTAACCCATTTAAGCACTTTGCCAAGTATAAGTGCTAGTTTCTTAGCATATTCAAAAATATATATTTAATATATATATTTAAAAGCTTTTAATCTCCCAATTCATGACCTTGTAGTAAAAAATCTTAAATTTTAAAGCATCTAATAAAGTCTACAAATGGGTGTGATTCATGGAAATTCCCATTGATGATTATTTCTCTGTGGCAGTATGGGTACTTTTGAGTTTGAGTCCAGCTTTGAGTGCAAAAGCTTATGGAAACTTTGCACTGAAGGTAATCGGCACATAAAATTTTGCAATCTTTTATGCAGGCTTAGACAACTCTGAACATATTGTGTGCAATTTGTTTTTACTGACAATCTAGTAACAACATCCATCTGTTACATTTAAACTGCTCAGATCAAATTTCCATATACAGGAATGATTTACCCCAGGTGCTTCTTCAATAATTTTTTGATGTCTTCTTTGTACAGAACAGTCTCTCTCAAACAAATAAACAGCATTGCCATACTGGTCTCCAAACACTTGTACTTCTACATGTCTAAAACGAAAAACAAAAATCTGTTAATTCACTGGAACATGTGACATGCTGCACAGGCAGGTATACCTCATTGTTCTCTTCCACAAGTCTTACATCATTTATTAGCAGTTGTGATGGTTGCACTTAACAAACTAGATTTAATTCAGTGCCATTTTTGGGGAACAGTAATGACTGGCATTTGGATAATATTTCAAACAATGTGTTTCCAGATTTCTGGATAATTTGTGCCATCTACAATGATAAAAAAAATCAACTCAAGAGGGGTTTTAAAAAGTTCAATTTCAGAACAGGAGCCCCTACCTTGGGTTGTCAACAAACTTTTCTAACAGCATAACATCATCATTGAAGGACTTCCTTGCTTCTCTCCGCGCAGATTCCAACTGTTCAAGGAAATCAGCCTTTGTTTGAGCAATGCGCATACCCTAAGCACAAACATAGAACAAATTCATTCAAAATGTGAATGTGTATGAACCTGCTGGTTTACCCCCTTGTCCTTGATCTCATCTCACTGACCTCAAAATTGCAGCCAGGTACATAACAGCTATTAATTAGCTACTAAAGGGCATCAAAAGGCTTGTGGGTGGATGGGTAGCCTTCGGTCACTTCTGCCTCTTGTAAAATTCCAGCCAGCCAGGGACATATGAAGGGAGGGCAATTTTAAGGGGCATCCTTGCCTGCATAACTACTGGTTGGGGATTGTAAAACTCTGCTTCATGTTCTGTTATCCTGTGATTGCAATTTAACTGAAAACAGTGCTCCAGACTAATCACCTCTGTCCAATTTACATCTTTTCGAAGCAGGTTATTTGTGATGTTTCTAATGCTTCCTGATAACTCATCCATTCTGTACTATTTCACTGCAATTTTCTCAAAACTCGGATGTTTCTTCTGTACCTTAATGGCTAAATTTAACACAAGTTCAATGTGACAAGCTTAAACTATTATTTTTAACGGAGCAATCTATCTTGGAACCCTATTTAAAGATGTTCAACAACTGGACTGTTAAAAACACTGAAGCTATTATTATTTCCAGATTGTTTTCAGTTAACACCATTCATTATATCCTCCACATTTACCTGAAGGTATGATGTTTTACATCTAATTTGTCATGATTCCATCCATATTCCTCTCCAAATCTTGGTGCAGTGCAATTTAATGCAGTCAATATTGGAATTTTATCTGACATAAGCAATAAGAGGAAGGAGCAAATTACTGCAGATGCTGGAATCTGTACTGAAAACAAAAAAATGCTGGAAATCGCAGGTCAGGCACATCCATGGAGAGACAGCAAGCTAACATTTCAAGTGTAGATCACTCTGAACAGCCCACTTTTACCTCCTTCCCAAAATCCACAAACCAGACTGTCCTGGTAGGCCCATCGTATCAGGCTGTTCCTGCCCCACCGAGCTCACTTCCTTCGATCTTGATTCCATCCTTTCTCCACTTATCCAGACCCTGCCACCTACATCCACGGTTACTCTGATGCCCTCTGTCATATTGACAGGACCTAACTGCCTCCTATTCACCATGGACGTCCAATCCCTCTATTACTCCCTTCCCCACCAGGATGGTCCGAGAGCTCGGCTTCTTCCTCGACCAGAGGCCTGAACAATCCCTGTCCAGCACCACTCTCCTCCACTTGGTTGAACTTGTTCCCTCACCAAACAATTTCTCCTTTAATTCATCTCACTTCTGCCAAATCAAAGGAGTGGCTATGGGCACTTGCATGGGTCCTAGTTATGCCTGCCTCTTTATCGGTAATGTGGAACAACCCTTGTTCCAGTTACATTGACTCCCTCCCACAACTCTTTTCACAGTACTACTTCATGGTCCTGCCTGGATCTTGAAAAATTTGTTCATTTTGCCTCCAATTTCCACCCCTCTATAACTTTCACATGGCTCATCTCCAACATTTCTCTTCCTTTCCTTGACCTCTCTGTCTCCATTTTGGGGAATAAACTGTCCACTGCCATCCACTACAAAGCCACTGACTCCCATAGCAGTGGGATGATGCCACCTTCCAAAACAGCACCACTGACATGGCTTCCTTCTTACACAACCATGGTTTCCTGCCCACTGTGGTTGACAGGGCACTCAACCGCATCCGACCTATCACCCGTGCTTCTGCCCTTGCCCCTTCCCACCACTCAGAACATGATCGGGTTCCCCTTGTCATCACTTTTCATCCCACCAGCTTCCACACTCAAAAGGAACGTTCTCCGCCATTTCAGGCAACTCCAGTAGAATGCCACCCCCAAACACATCTTCTCCTCACTCCCTCCATCTGCATTTCGCAGGGACCATTCCTCCGAGACACCTAGTCCATTCCTCAACCATCAACACCAAACCCCTTCCCATGGCACCATCCCATGTAACCGCAGAAGGTGCAACACCTGCCCCTTCACCATCTCCTGCTCACCAAGGGCCTAAACAGTCTTTCCAGTCGAAGCAGCATTTTACCTGTAGCTCCTCCAACCTGATCTATTGCATTCTCTGCATTCAATGTGGCCTACTTTACATTGGAGAAACCAAACGCCGGCTGGGCGACCATTTTGCAAAACACCTGTAGTCCATGCACAAGCAAAACCCCAACCTTCCCATAGCCGGTCATTTTAATACAGCGTCCTGCTCACATGCCCACTTGTCAGTCTTCGATATGCTGCAATGCTGCAGCGAATCACAGCCCAAACTGAAGGAACAAGATCTCATTTTCATGTCCAATCCCTCCAATCCCCATCAGGATGGTCTGAGTGCTCTCGGCTTCTTCCTTGACCAGAGGCCTGAACAAACCCCGTCCACCACCACTCACCTCCGCTTGGCTGACCTTGTTCCCTCACCAAACAATTTTTCCTTTAATTCATCTCACTTCTGCTCAGTCAAAGGAGTGGCTACGGGCACCCACATAGGATGGCACTTCACAACCTTCTCGACTTAATATTGAGTTCAAAACCTTCAGATTGTGAACCCGCTCTCATTCCTTCCTTTTAGTTTTACTTGTTACATTCTCTGTCACCATGTCCACTCTCCCCTCCCTGCACTGTTCTTTCCAGTCTGGCAGTGAGACACACCATTGTAATGCCATTCTCACATTCCGATTACTTCGTGCAGATTTTCTCCCCAAGCACTCCACCTCCCCTCCACTACTGCATGAACACTGCTGTCTCCTCCACACTTCACATCAGTTCTGATGAACAGTCATCTAGACTCAAAACGTTAGCTTGCTCTCTCTCCACGGACACTGCTGTGATTTCCAGCATTTTTTGTTTTAAGCAATAAAAAGTACAGTTCAGACAGGACCAATGCTGTTCCTCACTCAAAGTAATTGCACAGCAGGCACAACCTACAGAACACAGCTGACATGGCTGACACTTTCTTGCACATATAACCTCATTTTCCTCAGCCTTGTCGCATTTAACCACCAGGCAACAGTTTACCTGCTCTTAGTCACATTCCGAAACTCCCTAAGTCACGGAGTTACTGTACTCACCTATCACCATCCCACCTACCTTCCCCAGCCCCACCCTCCTCCTTCTATTTACTTCCCAGATCCCTTCCCCCTTCCTGAAGAAGGGTCCTGACCCAAAGCATCAACTTTCCTGCTCTTCTGATGCTGCCTGGCCTGCTGTGCTCCTCCAGCTCCACACTGTGTCATATAGCTAACTATTCCAATCCCATTTTCTAGCACTTGGCCCGTAGCCAGCAATGCTCTGCCCTTAATGCCCACTCGATACCCACAGCCTGTCATTGTCCATTCTTGGAACATCACATCAAGTAAAGCAACCAGACAATGCCAAACAGGAGCTTTTATTTACAGCCGACAGAAGTGAACACAAACAAATCAAGTAGAGGTTGCAGCTGGCATTATGGGAAATGGCTATTCTACAGCCCATGATGGTCTCAGCTCTCACCTACTGGCTCTGGGGTGTCAATCAGATGCTGTCTGGCTTGTACCAGCCGGTGCAGCTGAGCTCCGTTACGCAGAACTTCTTCCTCCTCAATTTTGTCATTGTTTTCTTTTGATACTGCTCCCATTTTCCAGATTCTCCCACCTACAGAATGGCAAGTGACAACAGGGAATGCAACTCATTGCAGACACCGGCTGCCTGGGCACCAGGTACCCCACCAGAGCCTCCATGTCCACATCCTCCTTTACTTCACTCTAATCTGACAGCCCATTTTCAACCCATCTCCCCCCATAAAGTTAGAAATCATACAATACCAAGTTATAGTCCAACAGGTTTATTTGAAAATACAAGCTTTTGGAGCCTCACTCCTCCTTCAGGTGTTAATGAGAGAGGTAGCATCAGACACAGAATTTATAAGTAAAAGATCAAAGGTTCACACCATTGATGATGGTGTAATAAACAAACCTAGGATGCTGTTAAATCTTTAATCAGGTAGTAGGTTTTGATTAATATGTATGTGTAAATCCCCATAGATCCTGAGAGAACTAAAGGTTTTATTAATGTAAAGAGAAGGTGATATTTTAGTCAGACAAGTTAAGAATCGGTTTGTGTTTTAGTTTGGAGTGAGGTTTTATTCCTAAAGTAGGAATTTATAAAATGCCACATTGACTGACTGTCTATAAATTGTGTGCTTTTTGAACAAAATAAAATGTATCTGCAAATACAAATTCCCCCATAGATTCACGTGCATGCACGGGAGACACTGTGCGTGTGTGGGAGGGAGCGTGCATATGTGTGTGTGTGTGCGCGCGCACGCGCATGCACACGAGCGTGCAGTGCGGTGGGATCCCAGTTGAACAAATGAACAAAAGAAAAAGTACAGCACAGGAATAGGGCCTTCGGTCCTCCAAGCCTGTGCCGACCATCATACCCTAATTAATCTAAAAAACAAACTTGCCATTTCTCGATCCATATCCCTCTATTCCCTCCCTATTCATGTACCCATCTAGGTGCCTCTTAAATGTCTTCAATATGCCCGCTTCCACCACCTCTTCTGGTAGTGCATTCCAGGCTGCTACCACTCTCTGCGGGATAGACTTCCCTCGCGCATCTCCCTTAAACTTTCCCTGACCTTGAACCTGTGCCCCCTTGTAACTGAAACTTCAACCCTGGGAAAAAGCCGCTGACTATCCACCCTATCTATGCCTCTCATAATTTCGTAGACCTCTATCAGGTCTTCTCTCAACCGCCGTCTTTCCAGTGAAAACAATCCTAGTCTTTTTAACCTTTCCTCACAGTCAATGCCCTGGGGACCAGGTAACATCCTGGTAAACCTTCTTTGTACTCTCTCCAAAGTTTCCATATCCTTGAAGCCAGTTGAGGCAATCCTCATGGATACCAAACTTGGCTAATCAGCTTCTGCTGGGTGACTCTGCATTGTCGTGTATACCAAAGTCCGCCTTGGAGGACATTTACCCAAAGATCCGAGGCCAAATATCTTTCACCGCTGAAGTGTGT